TCATTTCGGGTCTCCACTCGCAGCAACCTCCTCGTGGTGAGACCTGGAAATCGGTGCAATACCGAGCTAATGGCTGCGAATTTAGAATCGTTTCCCAAAATATAAGAGAAAATTGTACCGTATTAAATGTTATAAGATTTAAGAATACATGGAACTTTAAAAGTATTGAATATATTAAAAATTTTGGTACGAGTATTTTAATAAATTTATTCTCACAAGACTGGTTAAGATAAGGGTATAATTTGTGGACACAAGAGAATATAAATATAGCGTACGAAGATTATTTTAGACCTTTGGTGAGTCACGTTTAGTGAAAGAGGAAATTGCCAATAACATTGTACATGCTTCAACCCACTTGTTGAATATCAGCAATCACAGTCATAGACTAAAAATACACAATTCACTCGTTAACAGTTTCGTCAACAGAAACTCAGACGGCTAATGTATACTAATGCGTATATGGTTTGCCATTCCACTAAACAGGAAAGTTAGGTCGTTGTTGAACAATGCTATACTCTCGTCACATTCAATTATGGTACTCGACATAGTATTAATAGGATGTTACAACTGAAAAAATAATTTTGTAGGAGACGTCGTCTAAGGTGATTCTATTTTGTTGTTGCTTTAGCGTTTTCACATTTCATCTCCAGCAAAATGTCGTCCAGTATGAACAATCGAACACATTTCTAATCTTTAATAATATCTGTTGGAACGACTGGTTACAATAGCTCGTAAATTTATATTTATGAAGTGGATAGTTGCAGAGAAAATGTCACGGCTATGAAACCGTTATTTAAATTCTAAAGTAGTTGACTTATATTAATATCCAATTTACTAAATATTCTATTATCAAGAAAATTGCAGTCCATTTATTTCAAGATGTGGGAATTAAATTAGAACGAAAATCGAGTACATTGCAATGCAAATTTTAATAATATCAAGAATCCCTTGTGTCTTTTCCAGTTTCGTAGAAAGTTTTCTAAACTTCTTCCCGAAAGAAAATTAGCATTGCAGCGCGAGTATTGATCTCGTGGTTTTGCCCGAAGATTTTCCACCTCGGTTTACGATTTTGAACGTCGAAACGTGTATAGAGAATTTCTCAATTTAGATCGCCGTCTCGCGTCGATGAATAAGCATAGTGCTATGAAACCTTCTAAGTAGTCAAAAGGCAGAGATTTCCAATTTTTCACGGGTATAAATTCAACAAAGGTTGAAATTCACTTTGTCGAAGCGACTGCAGACTCGAAGTTTCCCCTCTCATATTTATGAAAACATTTTCTTATAAGAGTCTTCTTCGTCAATAGACATTCGAAAGATGCAATAAAATACAATATCGCGAGAACGTTCGTTTCTTGCAGAAATTACCTGCACAGAGACTCAGTTTCCTCGTTTCTTCCTTTCTAAGACTTCCTTTCTGTGACTTTCTAAAGATCTCTGCGTTGATGATGCCATTAGTATGCAAAGGAAGCTAGACTGATATATTAAAAATAAAATTAGAGTTAGCGATGGAAGAAATGCTGTTGTTCTTTTGAGACACAGCTTGGAATTAAAAAAAAATTAGTGTTACAATGCAGATTCTTTTATTATATTCGTTAAACTTCAAGTTTATGTAAAAAAAGAGTCAGATTATTTTTAACAACGAATTTACGTGAGATTGAACAAGTGCTCGCGTAAACTTGAACTTCGAGGATAAGCAAGAGATTACATACGTCTATTTTCATTGAGGATTACTGTCGTAGTTACGAACTCGAGCACCCTTTATGCACCGGCAATTCCAACAACAATACGAGCCACTCCTTCGATATAAATGCCTCGATCGTGTCCAATATATATTTCTGTCAAACTGCTATTGCCCGGATGGCAACGTTACGAATCAGCGTTGCGTGTCTACGTATCGGGCGTCGCGTGAAAAATGAAACACTTCTGAATTAATGGGATTTTAATGCCTGGTAATTACGACCGCCTGGTCGCAGACTTTCAAAGCTAACAGACATAATTCTCTCGCTGGTGTTCGATAATGGATTCCGCGCTCGAACATGTGCGTTGAGAAACTGATAGATCTCGCTTGTTCGAAAGGAAACGTTCGGTAACGTGTCACGATTAACAGTAATATATTGCGTCCAACCTGTGTCAACCTTTGCGTTCTGAAGTCTCTTCTGTCGGGCAAGAAACGTCAGCGAGAAAGAGTACCTCTGTCAGAGTTATCCTTCGGCGACGTGCTTCACGAAAAAGACTCGAAAAGCTGGTAATAGACTCCGGACAAGGAATATCAGTCAAAGACTATGTCAACGCGGTTGGAAAGCTGTTAAACGCCGTTAGTATTCATGCCAAGAATCCTGAGCGTACGCTTAGATCGATGAAGCAAACAGTGGGTAAACTCAGAAGAGTGAAGCCATATGGAAATCGACAACACAAAACTTTGTTGTTAAATGACCTTTCTGTAAAATCGACGTAACTATAAAATGTCTCGATTGTAATGTTTCCATTCGAGGCACTGTAATGGGCTAGGTGCAACGACCTTGCCAAACGGAAATTGAAAATCGCGGCTACGACTATGCTCGTGGTTCGACTCGAGCGTTACGCAAGACCAACATTCTCGATCGTGATTCAAGATCAACAGCCGCTGTGTAACACCCACGCTTGCCTCTCGCCGAGGGATGCAAATGCGTGTCACACATTTCCAGTAAATTCCTCCTGTTCTACTGACCTGACGACGTGAGAAATCGTCCGCGACACGATCGTGGATAAACGATGGATTCTCATGCGCGTGTACACCAGCGATTCTCAATGACCCACATTTTATTTAGAAACAATCGTCAATGAAACACCCGCTAAAAATATTACAAAAACATTCTAATAATACCGTGACCGTGACACGTGGTCTAGAATTTTTCAAAATATTTTAACTCTAGTAAAGAAGAAATTTCATTTTTATTGCAATTAAATTAGTCCTGTGTCGATGAAAGGTTTGATGACTAAAAATATTATAAAAATATTCTAATAATACTGTGACCATGACACGTGGTCTAGAATTTTTTAACTATTTTAGCTTTAGTAAAGAAGTAATTTAATTTTTATTGCAATTAAATTAATCCTGGGTGAGTAGTAAAATAAATAAAAATAAATATTCATTTAAAGTATCCAATTATTTTTCCAAGCTCAAATATTTTAATTTTAGTAAAGAAGAAATTTAATCTTTATTGCAATTAAATTAGTCTTGGGTCAATGAAAGGTTCGATCACTAAAAATATAAAAATATTCTAATAATACCGTGACCGTGACACGTGGTCTGGAATTTTGTCAAATATTTGAACCTTACCAAAGATGCAATTAAATTAATCCTGGGTGAGTAGTAAAATAAATAAAAATAAATATTCATTTAAAGTATGCAATTATTCTCCCACGCTCGCGTCGATGGAGAAAGTTTTAACATTCCTTATATTTAGCGGAGAGCGGTATAAAATGCCGCGGGAACTTTTTATTCATAAAGCTAGATCTTCTTTTAGAGAGGGGTACTTACGCTAAATAAGTTCGTTGCGCACAATAGCTTTTTTCCCCCGCGGCAAGTTTTCAACACCCTTTGAGGGCTTGCTTTTTCCACGAGAGATCGCATTAACGAAACAGGTTTCGACCAACCCAATTTTCCGACGCCGCGCTATCGTTCCCCCTTAAAAGTCTCGGGAGATGGACCCTTATTGTTTTGCTAGAAACAACGCCAACATTTCGAATCGTTTTTCCGCTAATCTCGCGCTACTCTTTCGCAAGATCACGTGTATCTCCTAGAGCAGACGCTGCACCTCTCGCAAGGAGGCTGTGCTATTTACTCTTGTTTCCATCGTTATCGGTTCTATTTTTATCTCGCGGTATTTCCACGTCCGTTTTTCCTTGCTTTTGTTACTAGACGTTACTTATTTGCAGAAGTTTTTGCTCCAATTTCTCTCACTTTCTGTCTGCTCCTACGATCGAACGGATTTTAACATTGTCCTGCAGCGAGCCTTTCAAAAAGTCTCTACCTTGACCTGAAACTCCTGTAAATACGACACGCGATTCAACGCACGTAGCTTTATTGATGCTTTATATCGTTACGTACAGAAATGGTAAGTTTACACACTAGTCGCGGACATAACTGCGTCGCCTGCAGGCGCAAGAAGAAAATAAAGCTATCTGGATAAAAACAGCTCGGTATATTCAACATCCACACTCCAGTTATATACATTTATGCGCGGGAGTAAACAGTCTTTTGGTTCAAAATATCAGCCAGAGTTTTGTGCAAATTTTTGGCACTTTTGAATTGAGGGAAACCACTGTGACGGATTGAAAGAATAGAAATTTTTTTTGTCTCTTTTCAACGACTTAAATGTTAAAGTAAAATTTACAAAAATGACTATATTATATATGATACTTCAGTCAATTTTCATTTGATTTTAATTTTGACGTAGTGTTAAAAGGAACATTGATTTTGTCAGTTTTTTGAGATTTTTCTTCAAAGTTCCACCATTTTATAATAAATAATTGTTTTTTGCAGCAACTTGCAGTGACAAATTACTGGTTTCTATTATGGCTATAATAATGAATACTTTTATACGAAATTTTTCCAAGAAGTACTTCAAGAAATATACCTTTGAAAAACATGAAACATTCTCAGAAAAACTTTCACAGCTACGTCCAAAAAATTCTTGAAAATTGCTTTTATTTTCAGCCCCCACAGTGGTTTCCCTCAAAACATTTTTCAAGTGCTTCCTTCGACGATATTTTGAAACTTCACAGGTTTCTTTAATGGTTCGTAATCTACAAATTAGTTTAAGAGCGAATCTAAAAGTGATTCTCAGACTTTTTCACGTTGTTTTGCACACGTAAAACTTACGGTACAACCAATACTTTGAAACCGTAGATCAGAGATCCGACAGTTTCGCAGCTTCCTTAAACCTGACTTATCACAGCCAAAGGATAGTGATAATCAGAACTTTACAGTTCCGCTAAGTTGCACATTGCACTCTTTCTTAGTTTGCGGAGAATGTTCTCCAAAGTTTAGAATATTTCTTCGTCCTGGAACGCTAGCTGAACGTCCACGTCTCCTAGACGTTGGCGTAGCTCCTCGAGAACACCGAACTGTATATGATCGACGTCGTCGGGCGGGCAGTACTCGTCCTCGCTGGATCTAGCGATCGTGACGATCGTCGGGGTGGCTGGCAGTGCGGCCATGAACGATCTGAACGTACCGCTGATCAAACGGTCGAGATCGTTACGCGTGGTGACGTGATCGGGCAGGTCGGTGTCGTCTCTGGTGCAGCCTGCGTCGTGTATCAATTTCCAATCGATCTCCGACTGCTTGTACACGCTGGTGAGCTCGCGAAAGATCAGCTCCACGGCTTCGTACCTCGCCGATTTCTCGCCCTCGTAGCTCTGGAGGCTCCGATTCGCCTCCAAATGCCCGAAGAGTCTTTCCAGCTCTTTAAGCTGCTTGTTTCGGGCGGTGGTCGCCTCTTTCAGGACTTCCGGTTCCGTGGAGTCCGGCCGTTGGAACGTGTACAATGGCGTGAGCTTCTCGTAGAGATTCACTCGATCGTAAATCGTCTTGAAGGGATTTTTCGTGCTGAAGAAGTCGAGATCGACGTCCAGAATGTAGGGGGTGTCTCTCTCGGGCAGATACTGCCGCAGAGCGAAGCTGATCGCGGTGAAATCGTCCCTCTTCCCCGGATCCTCGATGAAACTACCGATGGTGATCACGTGCAACGTAATCTCCCGTGTATTCTCCAGCTCGTCCGCCATGGCGAACAGACCCTCGCTGACGAAATAAGGCTCGGTGCACGTGAGTCTTATCGAACCGCTTTCCTTGTGCTTGCCTATCAAGAAGGTCGTCACTCCATCGGCCATCTGATTCGACCACGGCGGTTTCACCCAGATCAGGTGCTTAAAATGACCAGCGTAGGCCGCCGGGAGCATCCAATTCTCGATACTAATTTCCTCGAACAATTCGTTCTTGTCCCACACTGTCTCAGCCGGCATTTCTTTCGGTATGAGCATGTCGGCGTGGGAGTCCAAGTGTATGAACGTGTTACCCTCGAACGGGAGATGCTTCGATCCCAGGCATCGGTAAATAAACGGTAGAACCTCGTTGTGATCCTCCACCACGTAAATCGGCACTCTCTTGAAATATTTCCTGGAGAACGACATAGTTTTCCCGATTTGCAGATCTGCAATAATCGGTGCGCACAGGTGTCGTGATTATCCTTATTTAAAGTAACTCGTTATGATTGTCTTGGTCGATTATAAAATTTAAGTAATATACTCCAGAAATAAACTTCTTGATTCTTCGTTTCCGATTGGATATAATCTTGCGATCTGAGGTGGATACACGATCCCACGTTACTTCGTTCTTATGATTTCTGCTTTTACCTCTTTGTTTAATGGTAACGTGAATAAAATATAGAATCTTCCATGACATATATTTCAGTTCAAAAAACAAAATGAAATTCGTATTTAATCGATTGGTTCTTCGTAAATAACAATAATTTAAAATTACTATTGCGATATAAATATAGATAAATATAGATCGTATATATTGTATTGTAACGTACAATGTACTAAAATAATCCTATCTCGAATATTGGATTAATATTACGAATTAACGCAAGTTAAAAATTTTAATTTCTTCGATCTATGTAGCTGCTCCGAAAAAATACTGGAGCGTCAAAAATGACAAACGAGAACGTATCTCGATCTAATCGATATGCACACGGAGTAAAATAATTGTTAAATCGTAAAGAAAACTTTCACTTAATGTCACAACGTTGGAACAAATAAAGTACACCAGGAATTACTCTGGCAAACGGTAGAGTTTATTTAATCTTGAAATATATTACTCAAGTTATATATTCTCATTCAAGTTTTCGATATGCATAACGTGTTGTGACATTTTACACGACCACGTGGTCGGCTTACCTTTTAGGTTAGACGAGGTTACTCGGAGAATTTCTTGCCCTTCGCAGAAACTATTGTCGTTGGTAACTTGCACTAGATTATAGTTCTGGGCTCACAAACGTGTCATTGTTCAACAACATATAATAAATACGTCACAATTTCACAAACGTAGCTTTATCGATACTTCACATTATTTCGAACGTACACAGCAACGCTTGCACTCTAGGCGCACGTACTACTGCGCCATCTGCAGGTAGAAAAAGACACTAAAGCGAAGAGCGCGGTATATTTAACGGAATCTCTGTGTTGCGTTCTGATTTAAGTGTGACAAATTAATTTCAAATGATTCTTCTTTATTAAAAATTAATAAAATAAAGATTGTTGATTCGAGTTATACACGTCTCGCGACCATTCTCAACAAAACAGTACTTTTTGACTTACATTTTTACCAAGAATTTTTTGATGTGAGTTTCGGTTGTTAATTAATTCTTACAGAGATACTACGCTTATAGTTGTCATAAAATCTATAACTTTAACCGTAAAACAAAGCAATCGTTTCCACGGAATGTGCTAGAAACGGTCACGCGGTGATTGTAGAAGTTGATTTTATCGAAATTAATGTCGGAACGTTTAATTTCAGATTGCAATTGGTGATATTCGCCGCGTTCTGTGCAACGTACGCCAACGCGGATTTCTTCGGCGAGAAGAAAGGTAAGTGTCAGTTAATTCAACGGTAATGGTCCGTCTCGTGGTGGTGATTCAAAGACTCGAGGATCATTTGTCCCCCTTTTCCTCTACCAGACATCGTCTACTATGACGATTCTGGTTACGAAATTCCCAAGAGGATCCTTTATTCGCCCGAGGACGCCTCGAGAATATTCAGCAACTTTTTTACTAATCTTTTTCACGATATTCTTACGTAATTCGTTTTACGCGAGCAGCAATTTGTTACGAAGCGTGATGCAAGTACCGGGGTACCAGCTAAGCAAATTTTTATCGCCCTCTGGTCCCAGTTTGCCTTATCTTGGCAATATATTTCTATTAAATAGTTAAACGGGTATACGAATCGTGCGTTCTAAAGCCGCGTTATTCTAAACAGAAATCGCTTTGTTTCGACGCTCGTATATTTTATTTACGACGTTTGATACATAAATTGCGTCGTTCAAATGGATTTAAATTATGGACGCCTCGCGTTCTATATCAATGAGGCTCTCGAATTCACTTATACCGCAAATATTTCTCTGTCCAATATGGGAAGCACAGTGATTCTTTTCAAACGCGTGGGCATCTTTCTTAGTTACGGCGGGTCACTCCGTGAAATAAATCGACCAGTCGATTTCTATGAACCATCCCGTCGAAACAAAAGCGTAACGCGAACGCAGAATTTTATTCTGGCACGTGCACCCTTCGTTGTTTATATTTATCTCATTCTACTTTGGTTTCTTAATATCTTTTACATATTACAGGCATTATTGTTTTAACGATCCACCGTTTAACGAACCCGGTGACAATTTTGAGAAAATTCAACCAAGTTCCTCGCAGTATCTACTGAAACATTTACACAGCCGTCACAATGCTGTAAAAGACAGCTGCCGTTTGTAAACTTCGGCTACCTTCGTCTCCATATTTTTTCTCTGGAAACTTTACGATATCGTTTGACAAACATGACACGCGTATTTAAAGCTTCGGCACATTTCACGCCCGTCGTTCTGCCGCTCTCTAATCTGCCAGTATATAAGGATACACCGAGTCGTTTCATTTTTTTTTCATAGTCCGGTTGGCCGCCATTCCCTTCGCAATAAAAGACCCGAATAATTTCGTGATTTTGTAAAAATTTAAATAAGAACGCTTGTCCCCCGACAGCGCAGTCAAACGGGAGAAATTTCTTGAAGCACGTGCAGCCATTATTTAAATTATTCGTGTAATATCGTAGAAAATTTTACGAGGTCGGAGAAAAAAAAAAAGAAGTATTTTAATAAAAAGTTTTAACAGAGAAAACGTAAAAGCGACGCGCCGGTAAAAATTCAAAGGAACATTCGTTGTCCGTAAAAATTTCTTCGGCAGTGTAACATACGCGAGAATACGCGATCTAACGTTTCTACGTTTGCGAATAATTTCTTGCCTCTCGTTGTATAAAGCGATATTGGACATAATGCGAGGCAGCTTCCAGAGAGAAAGATTCATAAAGAAGGATTTAATAAAAATCTTCCCTTGAGCCGCAGTTACAAAGTATTAATGTCTTGAAATGGCTTTATGATCATCAGCATATCTTTATTTCCTCCTTTAAGAATTTCATAACCCGAGAAGTCGCTTCTCAGATTCAGCAGATATTTCATTCCGGCATTCCGTTTTTATGCGGAGTCTAATCTCGCTTTCTGCGCTCTGTGCCATTCTGATCAGTCGTTATAAAGTCGGGAAACTCACGTTAAAAATCCTTTCCCCAAAGCAACTTTAAATATTCAGGGGGAATAGCATAAAGTCCGTACAACCGCGACCAGCGTCGTAGTTCTCTCTTCCGTCTTTTTGCTAATTAAAACACACCACGTTACGATAAATATATTTCCAGAAAATTATCCATAGCCACTTCTAATTCAAATTCATATAGGATCTTCATAAACAGATATCACCTGCGTCAACGAAGAGAATCACAAAGAAAACTGATTTCTTTTCTCGAATGCGGATCGTCATCTCTTAATAAGTTTTTTCCCCGATAATCGGCTATTCTAAGATCAACTTTTCTATAATCGTCGTTCTACCGGATAGGTACATCCAGCATTAAAGTCAGAATTAAACCAATTTTTTACGATAGATAAAAGAACTTAAAAATGCTCCATGTATATATATGATAAAATTTGTGTTCCTTTTTAATGTTGTCGGTGGAATGCGAAACGTAGGTTTTGTAACGCGAAACGTTTCACGCTTGGAAGACAATTCCAAATCGATATCGCGCGATCGCGGGCGTAAGAACGTCACGTTATCCGGAAGAACGAAAGATTCAGTCGCTTGGTGAGTTTCCGGTTCTCTTATCAGAGGCGGATGCAAAGAGGGAATGTGGGCTGCGCTCGTCTGGGTTACGGTATAGGAAAACGGGGTGGAAAGGGACGAATAGCTCCCACAGGATGCGAGATAACTCTCATCCCCGTAGCCTCATTTGTATCCGCCCTCTCTCTTCCGATTTCCGTTGTGAACGACCACTTTTTTTGCATCGCTGCATCGTCAATACTTAATAGCGCGTCATTGGTCAGTCGCGATTCCTAACCCAAGTCGAACCTTTCTTTTATTTTATTTGTTATCCAACTTGCTCCCTCTTGTTAATAAAACTACTATGTTTAATATACAGGGTGTTCGGTCACCCCTGGGAAAAATTTTAATGGGGTGTTTTAGAGGCCGAAATAAGACGAAAATCAAGAATACCAATTTGTTGATGGAGGCTTCGTTAAAAAGTTATTAACGTTTAAAGTTCCATACCGACTGAAAAATTTTTCGGCGAAATTGAAAAATTTCAAATCGTTCTGGAAAAATTATTTTTAGTTGCTAGGATTAATTACAATCATTTTTGGTGAATAGACACACCCCCGAATTCCTACGCACTTTCGAGAAAAAAATTCTGGAAGATGGACAAATTTTTCGACGAAATTGAAAAGCTTCAAATCATTCGGGAAAAATTATTTTCGGTTGCGGGGGTTAATTACAATCCTTTTTGGTGAATAGTCATACCCCCGAAATCCTACCCACTTTCTAGAAAAAAATTCGAGAAGGTGTGAAATTTTTCGACGGAAAAAGAAAATTTCAAATCGTTCTGAAAAATTATTTTTAGTTGCGGGGGTCAATTACAATCATTTTTGGTGGATAGACACACCCGCGAAATCCTACCCACTTTCTAGAAAAAAATTCGAGAAGGTGTGAAATTTTTCGACGGATAAAGAAAATTTCAAATCGTTTTGGAAAAATTATTCTCGGCTGCGGGGGTCAATTACAATCCTTTTTGGTGAATAGTCATACCCCCGAAATCTCGCGCATTTTCGAGAAAAAAATTCAGTACGGGCGGAACTTTAAACATTAATAACTTTTTAAGGAAGCCTCCATCAACAAATTGATATTCTTGATTTTCGTCTTGTTTTGGCCTCCAGGATCGCCCATTAAAATTTTCCCCAGGGGTGGTCGAACATCCTGTATAATGTTTTCAACCTTCGGTCCTTTTCATCGAATAACAACGAAACATCTGAATAGGTGGAAAAATGTAACTCAACTTTGCGCGCGATTTTAATTAAATTTGATCGAGTTTCGTTTCTGTTTTGTACGGAATTAGCGCGGTAACAAGATAATGAATACCTCCGCGCGACTCAGGAACACTGTAAATAGAAATTTATCGATATTGGTTTAATTATCTATAGCGCGGGAACATTTCAGCGAAACAGTACAATATGGACGCGAAATAGATAAATTGCTGTAGCAGTATCGTCGAGACTGATTTATCGCCGCGAGAGTATGATCGAACTGACGCATAAACGAGCACACTGTCGCGTTTTATAGTCAGCTATTCCACACAGACGCGTATTATGAATATGGTCCCGTGCTTCTGTTAACGACAGATTTAATCCAGACGAGTGGATTCCTTTGTCGCGAGCAATTAATGTTTAAAATTTAGGGAACAACCGCGACCCAACGTCTCGGTCGAAACTTTCACAAAATACAGAAACAGTAGTTTTCCCAAGTGTCTCGGCGGGCTAAGCGTTTAAAAATACTTCGCCGCGGTTTTATTTACCTTCGAGATTGTTCCGCGGCCGGAAATTTACTTTCTGAGAAGTTCGTGAGAGGAACAGTGAAATATTACAAATTTGCATCGAAAGTTTTTCGGTTTAAACGACAGTTCTTCGCGCGCCGCGAATCCTCCAGCCTTAAAGGAAATCCTTATTTTCTGTTCCACGGTACGTTCGCCCAGACGATTCCACGTTTGTCTCGATCCCCCGTCGTCTTCCCCACGTTTCTACGTTCGAGAAGAGCACCCTATTAGAGGAGGAGTTGGGAATCGAAACACACGTCTGCAAAGAGAAATATTTGTCGGCGCAAAACGATACTCGACGTATTATTTCATCGAATTGTTTCAGCTATTTCGAAAAAAAGAACAAATTATTACTTTCACAATTAGTTCGTTCGTCAATTTTAACATACCCAAGATTTTGTACGTTTTTATATTTAACTACTTGCGATAGAATTTCATGATTATTGATTTTGGGGAGTAATTATTTGGTATTTTTATCTCTTGTTAATTCAGCTGAGATTTACTCGTGTTTGACTTATATTATGTACTTCGACAGAAAGATATTTCAAGGATGATTTTATAAATATCTCTGACATTTGATTGCGTCGTGAGTAAAATAAGATCTTTCTCGACAGACATCCATATTTCGAACGAACGAATGTATACTTGAGTATTATTTATTAATATGGTGGATTGTCTGTCATGTAATATCTGCTTACGTTTCAAATTGTATTTCTTCTACAGAATTGAATTTTAACCGAATGAATAAATGACTGACGAAACAGAAACGAACGCGTTACATTTTTCTGTTAAAAGTTTCGTTTCCGTTTCGATCGTGACACGAAATTTGTTCGTTCCTCGAGTAGGAGAAAGATATTAGGTTTAGGAAAATAGATGCCGGATGCTGGCGGAACGCACTAAAGCCGCTGATAGTGTAACTCTTTAAAAA